GGTAAGGTGGGGGTTGTCGGGGTTGTTGCTGCTGATCAGGTGGCGGTGGGGGAACTTGCTGCTGATGCTGCTAGGTTAAAGGCTGCTGTTGCTGCCTCTAAGGCTCGGGGCAGACATTGGAGTAGTGGCCAGGGCGATAGCAGTTGAAACAAATGCGCTGGCCTGCTAAGCACTCACCGATATCCAATTTGCTGCATTTAGGACATCTCGGAGATTGACCCTGATTGGGTCGGTCGTCATGCCTCTCAAAGTTCCTCTTCTTTTCTTTCTTCTTGTTCTGGTGGTCACTCTTCCTCTTGCTGGAGCTAGAGGTTGGGGGAATGGAAGCATAAGGGACAGGGTACTGATAAGTCGTCTGAGGAATGAGCGGTGGCTGATAGGATAGCGGAGGAATGACTGGGGGTACAGCTTGGACAGGCTGAGCAGCATGGTAGTACGAGGGAACTGGCGCTATAGGAATGAGACAGCTCTCCACTTCTTATGCCTGACTCATAGTATCGGCATAGGACATCAAACTGTGACTCCCAACTAGCTCACAGATCCTCTGGTTCAGCCCCTTCAGAAATTTCTGAGCCTTCTTCTCATTAGTGTTCACAGTGTCATCGGCAAATATGCTCATCCTGGTGAAAGTGCGTATTACTCAACTATGCTAGAGTTTCTCTGCTGCAGATGATAGAAGTCATGCTCCATCCGGTCAAAAAAGCTCTGCGGGAGGAACTTGCCTCGGACCATCACCTTCATTTGATCCCAGGTGAGAGTGTTAAGCTCAGCCTCTGGCCTCCGAGCCAAGTGGTCAATCCACCAGTCGGATGCATCCACCTTCATCTGGAAAGCGGCGCGAGATACGCGTTGTCTATCCTGGAGAGGGAGCACATCGAAAATCTTGTCCAGCTCCTTCATCCATTCCAGCACAGCGGTGGGGTTCTCAATCCCCGAAAAGGTAGGTGCAGGCCTGCCCTGGAATTGTACTAAGAGCCTCGAAAAGTCCATGTTGGGAGGGGCCTGCTGGTGGGGTGGAGATAGAGGCGGGGATGGCTACCGGTTGTTGCGAGCGTTGCGATAAGCCATAGTTCTACATTGAATAGGCCGAAAATTTAGCACTATAATAATAAGGGAAGTCTAGAGTTTGGCATGAAAAACTAAAGTTCAATTTAATCAAAGGTGGATAGATCCTAAGGCCCAAATTTCAACAAGTCATACTATAAGCAGTTTCATTGCTACTTATGTAAAAGTACAAAATTCACATTTTCACATTATAAGTATTTTCATTGATACTTATAAAACATACCTTTAAGCAGTGCGGCATGACGAATACGAGTGGTCGATACACAAGGTCTAAATCACATAAAATAGTTATTCACATATAAACCAGTCTACAGAATCGCAGACTGGCTCTGATACCAAACTATAACGCCCCACTCGATTTTTAAAGAAAATCCATGGCTTTTCCAAAAATCACAGTAAAATTTTCGAAATTCATTTTTCGATTCATAAATTAACCTTTCGGGTGTCACTCATTCAATTCAAATCATAGTTCAAGTCGGTCTAAACTAGTGGGGATTCATAAACCCGATTTTTCAATGGTTTTCATTAACCCATTTCACAACTGCATGATCAATAAAATAAACATGATATCCATTTAAACATATACTAATGAATATCAAACAAAAGGGTTTCAAAACCAATCTAACATTTTCAAAACAAATCTGAAATCAACTAACATGTCCAAATTCAAGCTCAAGGTTCATAACTACGGAAGCAAATAATAATAATAAATAAAAAGACCACCCACTCGCCATGTCTCGTCACCCGCCAACTGCTTAACCTGCATCCGTGAAGAGCAGGTGGGAGTGAGCATAAAGGAAAATATAATGCTCACCACTATGCATATGAACAATATAAAATATGTTAGGATGGTATGGTCGCAGCATGAACATAAACAATAACAACATGTCACATCTCCAATCAATACGACAATGATTCACTCATGTGTACATCTACGCTTAGCCGTGGGAAGGGGATGCATAAACCCTAACGACGGGAGTGCGTGCAACACAACGAACACGGCCTTTCATTAGGACATAAGGAGATTTACCTCGTTATGCATACATAGATCATACCAAATTCAACACATTTAAAACACAGATGCATAGACATTTTAGAATAACTAACCCACCTGGTAGTTCGGATTGACAAAAGAAAAAATCAGAAGGGACGTAGGTCGAGGCTTGACTCCTCAAACACCTACATTAAGTCAAGATACTACAATCATCACTTATCTTGACTTTAGAAGGAATACACAAATCAGACTTAGTCGAACTTGATTCAACTAAGTAGTTCGTGGAGTCCCGTGGACATTGGAACACATGGACTTAGCACTTAGACTCGACCAAACCAATCATGGAAGTACACATAATTCCAAATAAGGGATGATTAAAACAGGTAACAAGGAACAACGAACTAGCCAGTTACAAACTTTAACATCAAAAGCTACATTTTTGAAATATTGCCGAGAATATCACATATTCAAGTTGGTCCAACAAACAAACGATTTAGGCTCTGAAATTTTAACACAAAATCCACACCACAGGACATAGTCAAATAACCAAGTTTCAGCCCTTAACTCAAAATACCCAATTTTAAAAAATTCAAACAAGTTTTCAACAAAAACGGGCATAAATTCATAGCCTAAACTAATGAACGAGTTAACACTTGAAATTTTTACACAAGCAATTACAACATGTAAATATCAACATATAAAATTCTCAGTTCCTAACATTAAATACACGAATTATAAAAGTTATAGCAAGATTCTGCAGACTTAGAGTTTTTAAAAAAACTATACGAAAATGAACTTGATAAATCCTGTGCATTTTTTCTCATGTAAATCATCATTAAGCGAGCACATAAACCAAAATTCAGCAATTTACAACAACAGATCGATTTTTCATAAAATAAACAAAGTTCAGCAGAAAGCTACAATTAATTATTTATACTAGCAACTGAAGTCCAAAAATTATGAAATTTTTTACACAACATCCAAAAATGACAAAGAGACAATATATTTAAATTTTAGCTATTTTGGTTCACAACTCGATTTTATATGTAACTTACACGATTCTGTCCAGAAATTAAAATAATTAATAAAAATAGCTACAGATTGTATTTAAACCTGAAATGTTTACACGACATGTATAATCATCAGAGGATATCACACACAAAATTTCACATCATTCAGAGCAGGATGCGATTTATCTTGAATTTAACAAGTATACAACGACTATTCTAGTTCTATAAATCATAATCGGCACATAACTCATTTATTTCATCCGAGGCCTTAACCATAAGGCCAAGGACTTCTAAACGTTCCATATCCACTGCATTCACATGAGTAATATTATGATCGCTTTCGATTTCACATGAATCGGAAGGATCTCAACATAAAATAAACAAAACGGATACTAAACTCTAACATGAACAATCGTTGAAGCATAAACACATCACGAAAATAATCGAAAGAGGGATCGAGCCTCGGTACCGTTTTCAGGAAATGATACGTAAGAGAGGGTCGAACGAAGGAGGACAACACGTTAAAGGCGGCTCGCGGCGGTGCTCGGCGGCTCATGCTCGGCTCGCGGAGAAGCAGCGGCGGGGAACGATGGCTCGATGAGGCGCTGTGCGGTGGTTATGCTCGCCGCTGGGGTGCTCCGATGGCCGAGCAGCGAAGGGATGTTTGCCGGGGCTGCTGCGCAGACAGGGGCTCACCGGAACAGATCGCGACGAGAGTTCGCGAAGGAGAATCTCGCGAGGGAGGACGATGCAGTGATGGTGAAGGGCGATCAGACTTTTTGAGCGAGAGGGAGAGGGAGATGGTGGCGGGTTTAACGAGAGAAAAAGAGAGCAGATTGAGGCGAGAGATTTGCTCTGCAGGCGTGTGAATAAATGAGAGAGAGAGATACAGATTATTATAGACTAGGGTTTTTGTTTCTTATCACACAAGAAACACACACACACGCACAAAGGAGAGGGAAAACAGGTGGACCGGGTCTGGCTGGCGCACAGTTTAAATGGGCGCGCGGACCGGGTCGCGGGTTTGGTTCTATCGGGCTCGACATACGACTCGGTTCTCGGGCTCGACTTAGCCGATAAATTAGCTTGATTCTCGTACGACAATTAAAATAAAATTCGGATAATATTTATATATATAATACACACATTAATTAATTAATAATAATAAACATTTAGACATTTAAAGACAACTAGGCATTTAATAATAATAATAATAAAAATAATAATAATAATAATAATAATAACAAACAATAAATAATAATAATAATAATAATAATAATAATGAATAATCCCAAAATTATTCATAAATAAACGGGGCATTAAAAATCTACTATGCCGCTGCGTCTGTACACAATTAATTAATGTAAACAGGCAAGTCCTAATTCAAACTGTGCACAAAGTTGAAGTAATTTGGGCTCTGATACCAGTTGTTGGGTTCTATTAGGAACGTCAACGACATGCACAGTATTGAACTTATCGAAATAAATTCTAACGCAGCGGAATCTATAGTTAGGATTAGGACATTACCTTTTAAAATTTTTGCCGACTTAGAGACGTTTCTGATTTCCGTTGATGGAGATCGTCTGATTACCACAACCCAATGGGTAGATAGGTTTGGCCTTTCTCGATTCTGATCGACTTGTTGAATCATGAACGGATCACCGGATCGAACTTGTCGGGCTTAAGTCGGTCAGGCAAAGGTTTGGTTCACTGGGTCAACTTGATCGGAACTCGGGTGGTTCGTCTTAGTCGGAAGGTGCAGCGATTCGGTCTCGGTTGCTGATCGAGGACAGGCGCTGATCGGGATTGGGTGCGCGTCATGTGGCTGGGACGCGCGGACAGGCGGTGCGACTCAAACAGGCGCGGGTGACACGGGCGCGTGAGATCGGGACTCCTTCGCCTGGGCGTGTGGCGTCTGGGCACACGCGGGCATGCTCTGCACGTCTCCTGGGCGTGCGCGATTTGGTGGGCGCGTGCTACTTCGCGCAATGGATCGGGGCGCGAACGACACGAATAGACAGCGATCGCGAACGGTGGTGCGAGACGTCGTAGCTGGGTGATGCGGATGTGGCTAGGCAGCTGAAAAACGCCTCGAGCCGGGCCTATAATGCGCGCAAGAGGTTAGCGCGGCAGGCGGGTGAGACGCAAGCCATCACGTGCGAGGCATGCGCGGTCGGCGAGGGGGACCCAGCGGAAGAGAGCGCGCGGCTAGCACATGAGCAAAATGTGGTCGCGAGGGGTGAGGCGAGTGGCACGAATGCGGCTGGCACGAGGGACGCGCGCGATAAAGCCTCGGGTGGCAGGGACGCGCGCGGGGAAGCCGCTGGGCGCGAGGACACGAACAAGGCGCGCGGCGGGGAGGCATGCGCGAGTACGGGCGACGCGACCTTAGTCCTCGAGGACTAAGGCAAGGCGTGCGGGGGTCCAAAGGCGGCAAGTAGGGCGGTTGGGATTTTTGGCTTGGAGTGCAAGCCAAGGCTTTTCAAGATCCCTTAGTTATTTGGTTTCCTTATTCCATTATGATTTCTAGATTGATTAGGATACTTAATATTTTATTGCTTTATTAGAGTTATAGCTAGATTAAGAATAGATCTATTTCATGCCTATATAAGGCCCTTCCTCTTGTTATTTTTATCATGGAATATTAATACAAAACCCGAACTTTTGTTCAAACACTTTGTCTTAGATTTCTTCTTGATTTCTTTTGCAATTTTATTCGTTTCAAGAGGCGCTCACGTGGCTCGCGAGACACCTATCGTGCGATTTAAGGCGCGGGAGTGGCTTGTCGACAATCGGAACACACGATCTTCATCATTGGTGCTTTCATTGAGAGTATCTAGATCGTGTGTCTTTTCCTACCCCATTCCCTTTCCTTTTCTTCTTCTTTATTTTCGTCCCCTCTATTAAAAAAAAAAAAAAATCTTCAAGACGAGTCCTCGAAGTAAAGAACGAAAGCAAGAAAAGAAAGCTATGGCCAAAAAAGAGATGAAGGACAAGATCGACAACCTAGACGCTCAGGTCCAGAGCATGAGTGAAGCTATTGACACCCTAGGCGAAGGGCTCGACACGACCAAGTCTTCGGTTCAGGATTTAATGGAAACCATGAACCGGGGGTGCGAGGAGATGGTGCGTGGATTCCAACGATATGCGCGGCCACCTCCACGACAGCCAAGGCACGATCGACCCAAGGAGGAGGAACATCGGGCCGATGAGCGCGAGCACGAGGAGGACTTCGATCGACGGTCGCAAGCATCTAACGTGCACGACCACCCGAGGGTCGACAAACCGAGGCTCACACTGTCCACCTTCACCGGCACCGATCCCGTGGCATGGCTCAACCGAGCCGTGCAATACTTTGAGCTCAATGAGACCGAGGCCAATGACCGCGTGCGATATGCGGCCTATTACCTAGATGGCGAAGCTAACGTCTGGTGGCAATGGCTCACGAACGTATACCGCAAACGACAGCGAGTTATTAGGTGGGGTGATTTCGAGCGCGAGTTACTCACGCGTTTCGGGACTTCCAACTACCATAACTACGACGAGGCCCTTTCGCGCATACGCCAAACCGGCAGCCTGCGCGATTACTTGAAGTAGTTCGAGAAGCTAGCTTGTCACGTCAGGGACTGGCCCGAGACCGCGTTGGTTGGGGTATTCATCGGCGGGCTTAAGTATGATCCAGCCGCGGAGGTTCGATTGGAGCGGCGCGACTCGATGCAGGCGGCCATGGAGATTGCCCGGCGCCGTGACGATCATCTCGCCGCTACTCGAAGGGGACGGGCGGACGCACGTTTCCCCAAGCCGCGACGTACAACCAATGTCGCACCGAGCGTCAGGCCACCAAGTGGCACGCGACCACCAAACCTGGAGATCAAGCGACTATCGCTCGAGGAGATAAGACGTCGACGTGAGAAGCGGCTATGTTTCAAATGCGAAGAGAAATTCACCCCGGGTCACCGATGTAGCAAGCATTCGTGATAGATGTTAATGACACGGATGACGAGGAGCCCGAGGTTGAGGAAGGCGATGAAGAAGTTGAGGTGCTCGAGGATGAAGCCGAAATCTCGATGCACGCAATGGCGGGAACTCGAGGCCCAAGGACGATGCGGCTACCGGCGTGGGTCAAGGACCACCGTGTGGTTGTGCTCGTGGATAATGGGTCATCCCATAATTTCATCAACACCACGTTATCCCAAAAGCTAAAATTGCCCACGACGGCAATAGAACTATTCGAGGTCCGGGTAGCCAATGGAGAACGACTCAGGTGCACCGAGTCCTATCGCAAGGTGCCAATCAAGTTCCAAGGAGTCACCATCAAGGCCGATCTCTACGCATTACCCCTGGTTGGACCCGACGTTGTGTTAGGAGTCCAATGGCTCGAAGGCTTAGGGAAAGTGACCACCAACTACAAAACTGGAGTTATGAAGTTCAAAGAGGGAGAACAGCAAGTCACGCTAAAGGCAAGTGAGACCAGTGGAACCAAGGAGGTTGGTCTCAAGAGCATTGAGCGGGTTTGGCGCGGGGGCGGCCAAATCTTTGCAGTAGTCGTCGAGAATGCGGACGCGCCCATCACCGAGTCCGACCTGCAGCAGGGCGAGGTGCGCGCGTTACTCGAGGAGTTCGATCGCGTGCTGGGCAAACCCAAGGGTTTACCCCCGCACCGAGAGTTCGATCATCGCATACCGTTGGCTGACGAACAACACGCCGTGCACGTACATCCTTATCGGTATGCTCACTTTCAGAAGACAGAGATCGAAAGGCAAGTTAGCGAGATGCTTGAGTCCGGGCTCATTCAGCATAGCTCAAGCCCGTTCTCATCGCCAGTACTCTTAGCGAAGAAGAAAGATGGTACATGGAGGTTCTGTACTGACTATCGATCATTGAACGCCGCGACAATCAAGGACAGCTTTCCCATACCAAGTGTCGATGACATGCTCGACGAGCTAGGAGGATCTCGTTATTTCTCTAAGCTCGACCTTAGGGCCGGGTACCATCAGATTCGGCTACACAAGGCTGATATCTCCTAAAAGGATCCCTTAGACGTTGTATCCGGGGTGGGAAGGTTTCCAGTTACATCCTTGCCAATGTCTGGTCAGAAGGTTTGTTGTATGTACATAGGAGGTTTGCGATTGGGCCGAATAGGGAGTTTGTAGCGCCCCGTTTAATTATAGATTTATTGGGATTATTATAATGATTATTTATTTTTATTATTATTATTTATTGTCATTATTTTTAATAGTATTATAAATATTTATTTAATGTCTAATTGTAATTATTTTCCTAAATGTGTACTTGTATTATTATTACTATTATTATTATTTAATAATGTGTGTAATAAAATAGATTTTGTCCGATTTATTTTTAACTGCGAAATCGAGCCCGAGAACCCGAGTCTTCGAAACTCACGGACATGAACCGGCCCGATAAATTGAGAAACCCGCGAGCCCGAACCACGCTCCAGCCCGACCCGGTCTGCCCATGAGTGTGTGTGTGGATGTCTTGAAGATTAGGAAAGGATTAACCCTAATTGCATAATAAAAACCGTGCCTTTAATCCTCTCCCCTCAACCTCATTCACGCGCAACTTTTTGTTCTCTCGTCATCCTCCTCATATCAGCAGAATCAGAGGAAATAAAAATCTCACGACCCTCGTTCATCGTTTCCATCTCCCTCCCTTCTCCTCCCGTCGTGTCTGTTCACAGCGAGAATCGCCCGTCGCCATAAATCTCTCATCTTCTCTCACAAGAAAGCTCCGCCGCGCCATCACCCTCCCTCACCGCCGCCTGCAACTGCACCTCCGCGAGCCGCCGTCGCCGCTGCACTCCTCCGCGAGCCCTCCTCCTCCGGCGATACACCCAGCAGCAGCGCGCCTGAGATTCCCCGAGTCCAGCAGTGACGTCTTCTTCCTGTTCGTGCGCACCACCAGCCCCATCGTGCGATTAACTCCAGCCCTTCGATCGCCCGTCATCCCCTCAATTCATCGCCGAGACCATCTGTGCGGGATTCCTCTGTCCGGGCAAGGATTCTTCCAGCGAGCAGCCCTCCGTTCACGTGTCGCAGGGAAGGCTCGAGCACCTCTTTTCCCGATCAGTAGTGGCGTCATTTGCACAAAAGACTCCCGACCAGCCTGAGAGGAAACCACGTCCAAGACCGATTCACCTGCCGAGAAGAAAAGCCGGACAGTAGCAACAACCCTTTCTAGCTCGTGCGAGAATAACGGCAGCCGTTCGAGGCCTTTATTGAACACCGAGGTCCCGACGAGCTCGTGAACCAGCAGCAGCGACGCACTTTCTCCTCCCGTGCGACGAGCTCTCCTCTTTCGCGAGACGAGTTTTCCGTTGAGCCCGTTCGAACCCTTCTCGCCCGATTCTTGAGAACGGTATCGAGACCCGTCTTCCCGTTTATTTTACGTAATTATCGTTGTGTTATATGATGATATGTGAATTCGTATAAGTTATGTGATTATATGTTCGATATATGTGTTCGATTAGAGAATATGTGAAAATCGTGAATTTATATGAAAGATATGATTTTATGTGTCGTTCATGTTGTTCGGGATCTCTTCAATTATGAGAAATTGAATGAGACCTCGAAAGTCGTGTAAGTCAATGGATATTGGAACAAAGTCGAGTCCTTGGTCTTATGAGAAGGCCTCGGACGAGAAATTTCATGTTATGAATTAATTGCTAAGTTGCCGAGCATATATGTCGCTGTTTTGGTGTTTGAATTTTTAAAACTCGCACACTGCTCGGAATGACTTGAAATTTTGAGTCATATGTTATCTTTTCATTTCCAGCCTTGTGTAAAAATTTCGTAATATTTAGAGGCCTGTAGCTATTTTTAATAATTAAAGTGAATTCTGATCAGAATATTTTTTAATGCTTAATAAATTGTTTTGTAATTCAAATGAGCTGAAATTTTAGTATGTTGTGCTACTGTGTGTTTGTGTGCTGTGTTAAGTTTTTAGAATTTTTTAGTTGAATTTGATAGGGTTAATGACTTGTTTTCTGTTTCTGCTTAAAGTTGTATCAATTATTAAAAATCGGTTCTTCATTGAAAAATTCTGAAACTTGACTTAGATGCTTATTTTATTTGTATATTCATGATGTTAAAAGATGGGAATTTTTGGAGTCCAATTTAATTCGATTTTGATTTAAATTTGATAACTGCTGAATCTTGTCGGAATTTTTAAAATTAGCACAGATAATGTCCAAGGCTGAGATTTTTACATGTTGTCTATATCCTGCTATAGCTTGTGAGTTTAAATTTTCAATTCCTGATTCATTCATTAGGTTCAGATATAATTTCATGTTCGTTTTTGCTGAATTCTTGTAGGAATTTTATAAATTTATGTGCTTTGAGTTTGAAGCTGAAATTTTGTGGTTTTACTAATTTCTGGGAGATGTAATTTTGGGCAAAATTTTAGAGCTTAAGTCGTAGGGTAGCCTGACCATCTATTTTCATGTGATTAATGATTGCTATTCTCGAGACATGATTTTGAATTGAAAATTGGGAATCGACTTGCTTTTCGTTTTGGTGTGAGTTTGTCTTGGTCCATCCTTGGATGGATTTATATGAACTCCCTTATGTGGTTTGGTCGGGTTTAATGCCGAGTCTTAATGTTCCAACGTCCACAGGACTTCACGAACTACTTAGTCGAAACAAGTTCGACTAGGTCTGTTTTGTGTTTTCCGTTTAAAGTCAAGATAGATGTTGATTGTAGCATCTTGACTCAATGTAGGTAATTGAGGAGTCCAGCCTCGACCCACTCCCATTGCTTTGGATTATTATCAATCCGGAATCCCGGTGGGTTATTCAAAAATTAACTATGCATATGTGTTTTAAAGATGTTAAATGGGTATGATCTATGTATGCATTTGAGCATGTAGCCTATCGATGTGAGCTTGATGGCCATCGTTACGGTTGTCCCCGTATGATAAGATACGGTTACCTTTGAGGTAAATCTCATTAAGACCTATGAGAAGGCCGTGTCATTGATGTGGCACGCACTCCCATGTTTCACTGATATGGCATGGCTTAGCTGTGATGAGCATAGATGTACATGAGTGACTCTTTGATGAGACTATAGTCATTGATGTGGCTAGAGATGTGACATGATTTTATTGTTTATGTTCATGTTGCGACCATACCATTATTATGTTATTCATATGCATAGTGTGAGTACGATAGTTAACTGTACTCACTCCCACCTGCTCGTAACTGATGCAGGTTAAACAGTCGGCGGGTGACGAGACAAGACGGGTGGTGGTTATGTCCTTTATTATTGTTTTATTAATTATGCTTCCGCTTAGTTCATGAACTCATGTTGAAATTTGGATATTTTGAGTTATGTCGTTTGAACTCGAGAATTATGAATTATCTTTTGATAAGTTGGAACTTAATGAATGCTAGTTTGGTTATGACTTATTATTCGTGTATGATGTCTGTATCTGATGTATTGGCATTTTCGGATAAAAGTTTTTGGTAAAATAAGTAGCGCCCACTAAGTTTTATTTAATTGGGATTTGCGAAAAATTTATTGTGATTTTTATTAAATTAATTGGATAAATCTTTCAAAATAAAGTGGGGCGTTACAGAGTTAGACCTGGATTCAATGCATACATTATTTATAGTTTTGAATCTTTAGGCGGGATATACTTTGCGATAGTGGTGAGCATAATGGTTTGCTCACCCCCATTTCTTTTCTCTTTGTCTCCTCTTCCTCTGTGTAGGTTGAGCATGGCTGGCGGCGGCGGCGAGAAGACGATCGAGTGGTGGTCATTAGTTGATGTGTCTTTTTGCTTCCGCTTATGACTATCTACGTTGAACTACTTGTTTTTATTTATTTTTTTTTTTATTATTTATACTTCCGCTTTGAACACCATGATTATGTTTGGATAAACCGTTGATTCATTTTGAACTTTCTGGATGGTTTGAGACTTATGAATAATTTGGTATTATTCTCATATCAGTTAGTTTATGCATGTTTAGGTTCTATCTAATTGTTCGCATTTGTTTAATTGTTGCTGGTAGTTAAGTAGCGCCCGTTGATTATTAAAGTTTTAAATTGGAATTTTGCAAAAAAATAGCTCTGATTTTTATAAATAAATTCGGTAAATTCTTTAAAATAAAACGGGTCATTAAGTGTGGTATGAGAGCTAGACACACATTTTATTTAAATAATAATACACACAATTAAATATAAAATAATACCATTTTAAGTGTGGTAAATTCTTTAAAATAATACACACAATTAAATATAAAATATTAATATTAATAATAATACATATACACACATTTTTTTAAATAATAATAACACTTAGACAATTAGGCATTTAAACGCAATTTGACAATTAAATAAGATTAGACATTCAATAATAATAATAATAATAAATAGTTCCCAAATATTCCATAATCAAACGGGGCATTACAATAAGAGACAGATCTACCATTCTTTGGAAGATATTAAAAGTGTCAAGTCACAAGTAAAGGTTCAAAACAACAAAGTAAAACAGACTGCATGCAACACTGATTGACGATAAAAACTTACCGCACAGAAATTATATTTCGGACATAAATTTCAATATAAAAATGATAGACTCCTGATTCTTGTTCTATATGAAACCTAAGAAACTGAACGTCAAATCACATGAAGGGTTTAAAATCATTCGACTGAGTTTTAGAGATCAAAAACAGCGACGAAACAACATGCAACACAAGGGTTTCAAGGCTCAACACAACTTTATTATTTTCACGAAATATTTCAAACCTTAAGGCACGATTAACCGAATGTCAACCACACAAGACGACAGCTCGAAAATAATAATTCAACACTTGAACCCAACAACAAAAATGTAACAACGAGAGTTCCCAATCCACATGACTTTCACAATCACACACAATAGAAAAACCAAAAAATATTCCTACCGCAAACACAACATTTTGATTCAACGAGCACGATTTAAACCAACGATTTCAACACCAGCATAAAAATAAAAAGGAGGTTCGTCGAACTACCTTCCTTCGGGAATCTACAAGCTCAGTTGAAAAATAAAATTTGAAAACAAATCCTCGGTTGTACTTCGACCCTCGACGACTACGCGCGACTCGGCCAAAAAGTGCAGCGGCTCTCGGGGCACTTCCTCTCTGCCACGCGTGGATGATGGCTAGCGAGCTGCTGCCAGCAGACGAGACTTTGGGCGTGACTCTCGGTAAAGATGGTGCGTGTTGTGGTCTCGGTGGCCTTGTGGAGCATGCTTTGATTGCCGAGAAAAATTACAAAGGTAAGAGGTTTTTTGGCCGTGAATAAAACGTGAGAGGGAGGAGAGTTTGCTGAAATGTACTAAGGCAAAAATTCTACTTAAGCTTTCTGTATTTCGGTTTTGCAAGAGCAAAGAATGAGGGAAATGAAGTGATTTTAATGCCAACAATCATGGTCATAAGAAATTGGAGTTACAAATTTGAATTTTTTTGAATTTTCAAATGCTATTGAGATATTTGTACAGTTAGCTAAGAAGAATATTTAAAGAAATATTTTCTTGCATGAAAAGTCATAATGGATTTAACCACAAGAGGAGTTATAAAATGAATGAAGCTTTACATCTTTGAAGACCTCGGCTCTGAAGAGAATTATACACGGAAAAAGTGCAACAAAAGCTAAGAGAATAAATCGGCTAATAATTTTGTTTGCAAAGTGAAATAATACAAATTCCCAAAAGATTGAGATTAAACAAAATTATGCAAAACAATAATTTTCAAGATGATCATTCTCGGAAACAGAAGAAAAACGAATAAATTCTGATTGACGAAGAATTAACTAATTCGAATAATTTCAGTAGACATGAACATCTACCCAAATTAATTTACCTTATTGGAATAATAAATTGGTAACATCATAACTAATCTATAAGCTTACTAAAATAATTTAGTCGAGCAACTAAAATAAATTCATAAAGCCAATCATCACAAAGAATAAAGCAAGTCGACTCTTTTTATTCGAACAGGGCACTACACGCTCCTGAACGCGGGGCGCTGGGATGCGCGCTTGCTTGCTCGGAGACGTGTTGTGGGGTTGCTGGGACCTCGGACCGCACGCTGGCTTAAGGATTCCGCGCACGCTTGGGGGTGACTGGTGCTTCTCGCACACGGAATGCCAGTTGTCTAGGCAGCACACGAGCGCTCGACAACGTTGTGACATGACACGCTACGCGCGACATGCAGCAACATCCGCGCGGCCCACTGGCAACCCGGAGGCTGCCGACAGACATGATGCGGCTGCACTCTCACTTGTGTGTGGCACCATCGACGAAGCATCTCCCGGTCGCTACTTGGCTGCACGCTGGACTCTAGCGCCTCTCGTCACGGGCGCACGGACCCGACCATCCCTCGCGTATGGCTGCTTCCTGTTAGGGCTCAACTTGAGGTTCAAGGGTACACCAAAGGGGTTTCAACTCGGGGTTTTAATGCACAATATCAAGGGTCCCAATAAGGACTTTTAAGGCTTAAAAATATATAAGCAATGGCAAACACTCAGGGATCTCAAGACATCAGTTCAAGGCATAAAATCCGATAGATTTCACATGAATAAATCAAAATTTTATGCACAAAAGAGAGTTCCAAAAATCCACTATTGTTCTCAGATAAAACACAATAATCTTCTCCAATTTAATTCTAAGCAAAATTCTTAAGAAAGAACTTCAACATAGGTTTAGAAATTTACTACTCTTCGGGAATCTACAAGTATGGAGAGATCGGATCGGATTTAGGGCCTCGGTCGAAAAAGGGCACGACTACCCTCAGATCTCCTCGTCCACGGTGGATCTCGGCTACTCGTGTATGGCCTTGGTACTATTCAAATTTGGACAAAGGCTCGTTGGTCACGCCGTTCACACGGTTCCTCGGGACGGGCTCGCGGCGGGACTAGACAGCGGCTGTTCATGGATGTAGCGCCCCATTTGTTCCAGATTATTTGGAGATTATTATTATTATTTATTTCATTTTCCAGATTTATATTATTTGTGCTCTATTATTTTATTTCGATTATATGCTCGTAACTCGTCTAATTGTGTGATTTAATAATTTTATTTCCGAGCCGAATTGTAATTTAATTATATTGTCGACCGAGCCGGATCAAATTATATTTTAAATTTTCGAGCGAACCGAATAATCATTTCTATTCGGATGTTGAACTAAGTAAGCGTCCAAGCCGAACTGAGAGTCGAGCGACCGCGACCCGCGACCCGCTCGAAAACCCACGCCCTCCAGCTCGCCCCAAAAACCGGTTTTCCCCTCTTATCACCATGCATGCATTGTTTTTCTTGAAGACTTTTGAATTTAAATTCAAATCAAATCCTATCCCATAATTTGTGCCTTTGACCAATTAATAAGGAGAGGTTACAATCTTAGCCATTAAAACGAGGAAACTCCCTCATTCCCTCACCTCCCTCACGCCACTTCCTTCTCTCTCCCTAAAAAAAAATAAAAATAAAAAATCAGCATCCTCTCTAACTCTCTCCCTCACTCCTCCCTCTTCCATTTCGCCAGAAAAGCTCGCACGAAATGCCAGTCATCTCCATCGCCCCAACCCTCGCTCTGCCCGCATGCACAGACGCCGAGCCGCGCCTTCCCCGCGAGCAAGCCGAGCCTAACCATTCGCTGCAACTTCCGGTCACCTTCCTCGCACGCCCGACCAACTTCACAAGCCACCTCTGGACATCCTCCTCATCTGTGCGAGCCGCCTCCAACGTCGAGCACAAGCGGATGAGTTCCCCGCCCTTAGGAATCAAACATCGAAAACCGAGCCTTCCCGTGATCGAGCCTTGTTCGTGTCCTCCCCTTGGTGTTTGGTATATTATCTATACTCCATTAATTATTATTGTATTAGATGTGTTCATGTTGAATATGTGATAATATATAGTGTTTGAAATTAATATGTTAAAATATGTATTATTTTTATATGATATCATGGATCTTTGGAGTTTATTTTGAAACCCGAATGATCTGATGATAACTCGTGGATATCTCATGGAGTTTGGAAAATTTTTTCTCCTTGTGATGTTGATCTTGACCTTGTGTCATTTAGAGTTGTAGATCTTAAGTTACAAATTTTTGAATATATTGATGTTGTTCTGGATTGTTAAATTCGTGATAATTTGAGTTGTTGCCCAAAAATCCTAAATTTTGGATATGTTGTTCTCCTGATGAATATTGACCTTGTGCTAAACTTTTATAATTTTTGGAATACAATGGCTAGGGTAAATGCTTATTTGATTATTTCTGCTAAATCTTGTACAAATCGTGTAAAATTAGTTCTTTAATGAAAATGCCTAAATCTTGGTTTATATGCTCATTTGATAATTTTCTATGTGATGTAAAAATTCCAGGATTTATTGAATTCATTATGTTAGGTTCTTATTGAAATCATGAATTCTGCTGAAACTTGCAATAATTTTCGTAATTCATGTGTTCAGTGTTTTTACCTGAAAATTTTATATGTTGTTCCCATCATGATTAAATTAGTTGTATAAAATTTTTGGGTCTTAAATCATTCATTAAGTCAGACATTAAATTCGTACATATTTTTTATGACATCGTGTTTTATTTTTATCAAATCGCATGTTCAAGTGATATGGCTGAAACTTGGTGATTTTGATATACTCAGTGATGTCTATTACGTTTTCAAATTTCAAATCAAAATTCGTTCATTTACCTAGTCATCTAGAAAATGATGGTTAATTATCAATTTGCTCGATTTCATTGAATGAATATGTTAACATTTGAATTTTCGCATAAATTTTAATATATGAGGTCCCCTTAGCATGCTTTATAAGAGGTTTGAATTTCATGATCATTGGCTAAGTATATCATGAGATGACCTTTTTGTGTGTTTTCGCTTTTGTTTTTTAGTCGAGTCGACCGTTCCATAATTCCACGAGAATCTTCCACGAGCCACTTAGTTGACGGATTCAACTAAGTTTGTGTGATCGTTGGATTAGTTGCAATCGAGAGTTGTCGTGATTTCTTGTAGGTGTTCCAAAGTGTTGACTCTAATTCTACCTTTCGAGTCTTGTATTGTGAATTTATCGCTACAATCAGGTGGGTACATTTACGTTGTATCTATAATTTTAGCACTCATTTTTTCGTATAAATGTTTGTCTCAATAGATTTTGTATGCATGAGAACCCTAGTCTAGGTGTCCCGTTGTTAGTGCTTTTGACGAATGCATAAGCAGTGAGAGGTCACCTGTCTGTTGTATCCGGGAGGAGGACGCCCTGAACTGTTGTATCCCGGGAGGAACAGCTCCACTGTCTCCTGAAAGGATCCCGTAGACGTTGTATCCGGGGTGGGAAGGTTTCCAGTTACATCCTTGCCAATGTCTGGTCAGAAGGTTTGTTGTATGTACATAGGAGGTTTGCAATTGGGCCGAATAGGGAGTTTGTAGCGCCCCGTTTAATTATAGATTTATTGGGATTATTATAATGATTATTTGTTTTTATTATTATTATTTATTGTCATTATTATTAATAGTATTATGAATATGTATTTAATGTCTAATTGTAATTATTTGCTTAAATGTGTACTTGTATTATTATTACTATTATTATTATTAAATAATGTGTGTAATAAAATAGATTTTGTCCGGTTTATTTTTTATTGCAAAATCGAGCCCGAGAACTCGAGTCTTCGAAACTCACACGCATGAACCGGCCCGATAAATTGAGAAACCCGCGAGCCCGAACCACGCTCAAGCCCCGACCCGGTCCGCCCATGAGTGTGTGTGTGGGTGTCTTGAAGATTAGGAAAGGATTAACGCTAATTGCATAATAAAAACCGTGCCTTTAATCCTCTCCCCTCAACCTCATTCACGCGCAGCTTTTTGTTCTCTCATCATCCTCCTCATATCAGCAGAATCAGAGGAAATAAAAATCTCACGACCCTCGTTCATCGTTTCCATCTCCCTCCCTTCTCCTCCCGTCGTGTCTGTTCACAGCGAGAATCGCCCGTCGCCATAAATCTCTCATCTTCTCTCATAAGAAAGCTCCGTCGCGCCATCACCCTCCCTCACCGCCGCCTGCAACTGCACCTCCGCGAGCCACCGTCGCCGCTGCACTCCTCCGCGAGCCCTCCTCCTCCGGCGATACACCCAGCAGCAGCACACCTGAGATTCCCCGAGTCCAGCAGTGACGTCTTCTTCCTGTTCGTGCGCACCACCAGCCCCATCGTGCGATTAACTCCAGCCCTTCGATCGCCCGTCATCCCCTCAGTTCATCGCCGGGACCATTTGTGCGGGATTCCTCTGTCCGGGCATGGATTCTTCCAGCGAGCAGCCCTCCGTTCACGTGTCGCAGGGAAGGCTGGAGCACCTCTTTTCCCGATCAGTAGTGGCGTCATTTGCACAGACGACTCCCGACCAGCCTGAGAGGAAACCACGTCCAAGACCGATTCACCTGCCGAGAAGAAAAGCCGGACAGTAGCAACAACCCTTTCTAGCTCGTGCGAGAATAACGGCAGCCGTTCGAGGCCTTTATTGAACACCGAGGGCCCCGACGAGCTCGTGACCCAGCAGCAGCGACGCACTTTCTCCTCCCGTGCGACGAGCTCTCCTCTTTCGCGAGACGAGTTTTCCGTTGAGCCCGTTCGAACCCTTCTCGCCCGATTCTTGAGAACGGTATCGAGACCCGTCTTCCCATTTATTTTACGTAATTATCGTTGTGTTATATGATGATATGTGAATTCGTATAAGTTATGTATTATATGTTCGATATATGTGTTCGATTAGAGAATATGTTAAAATCGTGAATTTATATGAAAGATATGATTTTATGTGTCGTTTATGTTGTTCGGGATCTCTTCAATTATGAGAAATTGAACGAGACCTCGAAGTCATGTAAGTCAATGGATATTGGAACAAAGTCGAGTCCTTGGTCTTACGAGAAGGCCTCGGACGAGAAATTTCATGTTATGAATTAATTGCTAAGTTGTCGAGCATATATGTCGCTGTTTTGGTGTTTGAATTTTTAAAACTCGCACACTGCTCGGAATGACTTTAAATTTTGGGTCATATGTTATCTTTTCATTTCCAGCCTTGTGTAAAAATTTCGTAATTTTTAGAGGCCTGTAGCTATTTTTAATAATTAAAGTGAATTCTGATCAGAATATTGTTTAATGCTTAATAAATTGTTTTGTAATTCAAATGAGCTGAAATTTTAGTATGTTGTGCTTCTGGTGTGTTTGTGTGCTGTGTTAAGTTTTTAGAATTTTTGAGTTGAATTTGATATGGTTAATGACTTGTTTTCTGTTTCTGCTGAAAGTTTTATCAATTATTAAAAATCGGTTCTTCATTGAAAAGTTCTGAAACTTGACTTAGATGCTTATTTTATTTGTATATTCATGATGTTAAAAGATGGGAATTTTTGGAGTCCAATTTAATTCGTTTTTGATTTAAATTTGATAACTACTGAATCTTGTCGAAATTTTTAAAATTAGCACAGATAATGTCCAAGGCTGAGATTTTTACATGTTGTCTATATTCTGCTGTAGCTTGTGAGTTTAAATTTTCATGTCCTAATTCATTCATGAGGTTCAGATATAATTTCATGTTCGTTTTTGCTGAATTCTTGTAGGAATTTTATAAATTTATGTGCTTTGAGTTTGAAGCTGAAATTTTGTGGCTTTACTAATTTCTGGGAGATGTAATTTTGGGCAAAATTTCAGAGCTTAAGTCGTAGGGTAGCCTGACCATCTATTTTCATGTGATTAATGATTGCTATTCTCGAGACATGATTTTGAATTGAAAATTGGAAATCGACTTGCTTTTCATTTTGATGTGAGTTTGTCTTGGTCCATCCTTGGATGGATTTATATGAACTCCCTTATGTGGTTTGGTCAGGTTTAATGCCGAGTCTTAATGTTCCAACGTCCACAGGACTTCACGAACTACTTAGTCGAAACAAGTTCGACTAGGTCTGTTTTGTGTTTTCCGTTTAAAGTCAAGATAGCTGTTGATTGTAGCATCTTGACTCAATTTAGGTAATTGAAGAGTCCAGCCTCGACCCACTCCCATTGCTTTGGATTATTATCAATCCGGAATCCCGGTGGGTTATTCAAAAATTAACTATGCGTATGTGTTTTAAAGATGTTAAATGGGTATGATCTATATATGCATGTGAGCATGTAGCCTATCGATGTGAGCTTGATGGCTATCGTTACGGTTGTCCCCGTATGATAAGATACGGTTACCTTTGAGGTAAATCTCATTAAGACCTATGAGAAGGCCGTGTCATTGATGTGGCACGCACTCCCATGTTTCACTGATATGGCATGGCTTAGCTGTGATGAGCATAGATGTACATGAGTGAGTCTTTGATGAGACTATAGTCATTGATGTGGCTAGAGATGTGACATGATTTTATTGTTTATGTTCATGCTGCGACCATACCATTATTATGTTATTCATATGCATAGTGTGAGTACGATAGTTAACTGTACTCACTCCCACCTGCGCGTAACTGATGCAGGTTAAGCAGTCGGCGGGTGACGAGACAAGACGGGTGGTGGTTATGTCCTTTATTATTGTTTTATTAATTATGCTTCCGCTTAGTTCATGAACTCATGTTGAAATTTGGATATTTTGAGTTATGTCGTTTGAACTCGAGAATTATGAATTATCTTTTGATAAGTTGGAACTTAATGAATGCTAGTTTGGTTATGACTTATTATTCGTGTATGATGTCTGTATCTGATGTATTGGCATTTTCGGATAAAAGTTTTTGGTAAAATAAGTAGCGCCCACTAAGTTTTATTTAATTGAGATTTGCGAAAAATTTATTGTGATTTTTATTAAATTAATTCGATAAATCTTTCAAAATAAAGTGGGGCGTTACAGAGTTAGACCTAGATGCAATGCATACATTATTTATAGTTTTGAATCTTTAGGCGGGATATACTTTGCGATAGTGGTGAGCATAATGGTTTGCTCACCCCCATTTCTTTTCTCTTTGTCTCCTCTTCCTCTGTGTAGGTTGAGCATGGCTGGCGGCGGCGGCGAGAAGACGATCGAGTGGTGGTCATTAGTTGATGTGTCTTTTTGCTTCCGCTTATGACTATCTACGTTGAACTACTTGTTTTTTTTTTTTATTATTATTTATACTTCCGCTTTGAACACCATGATTATGTTTGGATAAACCGTTGATTCATTTTGAACTTTCTGGATGGTTTGAGACTTATGAATAATTTGGTATTATTCTCATATCAGTTAGTTTATGCTTGTTTAGGTTCTATCTAATTGTTAGCATTTGTTTAATTGTTGCTGGTAGTTAAGTAGCGCCCGTTGATTATTAAAGTTTTAAAATTGGAATTTTGCAAAAAAATATCTCTGATTTTTATAAATAAATTCGGTAAATTCTTTAAAATAAAACGGGTCATTAAGTGTGGTATGAGAGCTAGACACACATTTTATTTAAATAATAATACACACAATTAAATATAAAATAATACCATTTTAAGTGTGGTAAATTCTTTAAAATAATACACACAATTAAATATAAAATATTAATATTAATAATAATACATATACACACATTTTATTTAAATAATAATAACACTTAGACAATTAGGCATTTAAACGCAATTTGACAATTAAATAAGATTAGACATTCAATAATAATAATAATAATAAATAGTTCCCAAATATTCCATAATCAAACGGGGCATTACAATAAGAGACAGATCTACCATTCTTTGGAAGATATTAAAAGTGTCAAGTCACAAGTAAAGGTTCAAAACAACAAAGTAAAACAGACTGCATGCAACACTGATTGACGATAAAAACTTACCGCACAGAAACTATATTTCGAACATAAATTTCAATATAAAAATGATAGACTCCTGATTCTTGTTCTATATGAAACCTAAGAAACTGAACGTCAAATCACATGAAGGGTTTAAAATCATTCGACTGAGTTTTAGAGATCAAAAACAGCGACGAAACAACATACAACACAAGGGTTTCAAGGCTCAACACAACTTTATTATTTTCACGAAATATTTGAAACCTTAAGGCACGATTAACCGAATGTCAACCACACAAGACGACAGCTCGAAATAATAATTCAACACTTGAACCCAACAACAAAAAGGTAACAACGAGAGTTCCCAATCCACATGACTTTCACAATCACACACAATAGAAAAACCAAAAAATATTCCTACCGCAAACACTAAATTTTGATTCAACGAGCACGATTTAAACCAACGATTTCAACACCAGCATAAAAATAAAAAGGAGGTTCGTCGAACTACCTTCCTTCGGGAATCTACAAGCTCAGTTGAAAAATAAAATTTGAAAACAAATCCTCGGTTGTACTTCGACCCTCGACGACTACGTGCGACTCGGCCAAAAAGTGCAGCGGCTCTCGGGGCACTTCCTCTCTGCCACGCGTGGATGATGGCTAGCGAGCTGCTGCGAGCGAACGAGACTTCGGGCGTGACTCTCGGTAAAGATGGTGCGTGTTGTGGTCTCGGTGGCCTTGTGGAGCATGCTTTGATTGCCGAGAAAAATTACAAAGGTAAGAGGTTTTTTGGCCGTGAATAAAACGTGAGAGGGAGGAGAGTTTGCTGAAATTTACTAAGGCAAAAATTCTACTTAAGCTTTCTGTATTTCGGTTTTGCAAGAGCAAAGAATGAGGGAAATGAAGTGATTTTAATGCCAACAATCATGGTCATAAGAAATTGGAGTTACAAATTTGAATTTTTTTGAATTTTCAAATGCTATTGAGATATTTGTACAGTTAGCTAAGAAGAATATTTAAAGAAATATTTTCTTGCATGAAAAGTCATAATGGATTTAACCACAAGAGGAGTTATAAAATGAATGAAGCTTTACATCTTTGAAGACCTCGGCTCTGAAGAGAATTATACACTGAAAAAGTGCAACAAAAGCTAAGAGAATAAATCGATTAATAATTTTTATTTGCAAAGTGAAATAGTACAAATTCCCAAAAGATCGAGATTAAACAAAATTATGCAAAACAATAATTTTCAAGATGATCATTCTCGGAAACAGAAGAAAAACGAATGAATTCTGATTGACGAAGAATTAACTAATTCGAATAATTTCAGTAGACATGAACATCTACCCAAATTAATTTACCTTATTGGAATAAGAAAACGGTAACATCATAACTAGTCTATAAGCTTACTAAAATAATTTAGTCGAGCAACTAAAATAAATTCATAAAGCCAATCATCACAAAGAATAAAGCAAGTCGACTCTTTTTATTCGAACCGGGCACTACACGCTACTGAACGCGGAGCGCTGGGATGCGCGCTTGCTTGCTCGGAGACGTGTTGTGGGGTTGCTGGGACCTCGGACCGCACGCTGGCTTAAGGATTCCGTGCACGCTTGGGGGTGACTGGTGCTGCTCGCACACGGAATGCCAGTTGTCTAGGCAACACACGAGCGCTCGACTACGTTGTGACATGACACGCTACGCGCGACATGCAGCAACATCCGCGCGGCCCACTGGCAACCCGGAGGCTGCCGACAGACATGATGCGGCTGCACTCTCACTTGTGTGTGGCACCATCGACGAAGCATCTCCCGGTCGCTACTTGGCTGCACGCTGGACTCTAGCGCCTCTCGTCACGGGCGCACGGACCCGACCATCCCTCGCGTATGGCTGCTTCCTGTTAGGGCTCGACTTGAGGTTCAAAGGTACACCAAAGGGGTTTCAACTCGGGGTTTTAATGCACAATATCAAGGGTCCCAATAAGGACTTTTAAGGCTTAAAAATATATAAGCAATGGCAAACACTCAGGGATCTCAAGACATCAGTTCAAGGCATAAAAACCGATAGATTTCACATGAATAAATCAAAATTTTATGCACAAAAGAGAGTTCCAAAAATCCACTATTGTTCTCAAATAAAACACAATAATCTTCTCCAATTTAATTCTAAGCAAAATTCTTAAGAAAGAAATTCAACATAGGTTTAGAAATTTACTACTCTTCGGGAATCTACAAGTATGGAGAGATCGGATCGGATTTAGGGCCTCGGTCGAAAAAGGGCACGACTACCCTCAGATCTCCTCGTCCACGGTGGATCTCGGCTACTCGTGTATGGCCTTGGTACTATTCAAATTTGGACAAATGATCGTTGGTCACGCCGTTCACACGGTTCCTCGGGACGGGCTCGCGGCGGGACTAGACAGCGGCTGTTCATGGATGTAGCGCCCCATTTGTTCCGAATTATTTGGAGATTATTATTATTATTTATTTCATTTTCCAGATTTATATTATTTGTGCTCTATTATTTTATTTCGATTATATGCTCTTAATTCGTCTAATTGTGTGATTTAATAATTTCATTTCCGAGCCGAATTGTAATTTAATCATATTGTCGACCGAGCCGGATCGAATTATATTTTAAATTTTCGAGCGAACCGAATAATCATTTCTATTCGGATGTTGAACTAAGTAAGCGTCCAAGCCGAACCGAGAGCCGAGCAACCGCGACCCGCGACCCGCTCGAAAGCCCACGCCCTCCAGCTCGCCCCAAAAACCGGTTTTCCCCTCTTATCACCATGCATGCATTGTTTTTCTAGAAGACTTTTGAATTTAAATTCAAATCAAATCCTATCCCATAATTTGTTCCTTTGACCAATTAATAAGGAGAGGTTACAATCTTAGCCATTAAAACGAGGAAACTCCCTCATTCCCTCACCTCCCTCACGCCACTTCCTTCTCTCTCCCTAAAAAAAAATAAAAATAAAAAATCAGCATCCTCTCTAACTCTCTCCCTCCCTCCTCCCACTTCCATTTCGCCAGAAAAGCTCGCACGAAACGCCGGTCATCTCCATCGCCCCAACCCTCGCTCTGCCCGCATGCACAGACGCCGAGCCGCACCTTCCCCGCGAGCAAGCCGAGCCTAACCATTCGCTGCAACTTCCGGTCACCTTCCTCGCACGCCCGACAAACTTCACAAGCCACCTCTGGACATCCTCCTCATCCGTGCGAGCCGCCTCCAACGTCGAGCACAAGCGGACGAGTTCCCCGCCCTTAGGAATCAAACATCGGAAACCGAGCCTTCCCGTGATCGAGCCTTGTTCGTGTCATCCCCTTGGTGTTTGGTATATTTTCTATACTCCATTAATTATTATTGTATTAGATGTGTTCATGTTGAATATGTGATAATATATAGTGTTTGAAATTAATATGTTAAAATATGTATTATTTATATATGATATCATGGACCTTTGGAGTTTATTTTGAAACCCGAATGATCTGATGATAACTCGTGGATATCTCATGGAGTTTGGAAAATTTTTTCTCCTTGTGATGTTGATCTTGACCTTGTGTCATTTGGAGTTGTAGATCTTAAGTTACAAATTTTTTGAATATATTGATGTTGTTGTGGATTGTTAAATTCGTGATAATTTGAGTTGTTGCCCAAAAATCCTAAATTTTGGATATGCTGTTCTCCTGATGAATATTGACCTTGTGCTAAACTTTTATAATTTTTGGAATACAATGGCTAGGGTAAATGCTTATTTGATTATTTCTGCTGAATCTTGTACAAATCGTGTAAAATTGGTTCTTTAATGAAAATGCCTAAAACTTAGTTTATATGCTCATTTGATAATTTTCTATGTGATGTAAAAATTCCAGGATTTATTGAATTCATTATGTTAGGTTCTTATTGAAATCATGAATTCTGCTGAAACTTGCAATAATTTTCGTAATTCATGTGTTCAGTGTTTTTAACTGAAAATTTTATATGTTGTTCCCATCATGATTAAATTAATTGTATAAAATTTGTGGGTCTTAAATCATTCATTAAGTCAGACATTAAATTCGTACATGTTTTTTATGACATTGTGTTTTATTTTTATCAAATCGCATGTTCAAGTGATATGGCTGAAACTTGGTGATTTTGATATACTCAGTGATGTCTATTACGTTTTCAAATTTCAAATCAAAATTCGTTCATTTACCTAGTCATCTAGAAAATGATGGTTAATTATCAGTTTACTCGATTTTATTGAATGAATATGTTAACGTTTGAATTTTCGCATAAATTTTAATATATGAGGTCCCCTTAGCATGCTTTGTAAGAGGTTTGAATTTCATGATCATTGGCTAAGTATATCATGAGATGACCTTTTTGTGTGTTTTCGCTTTTGTTTTTTAGTCGAGTCGACCGTTCCATAATTCCACGAGCCACTTAGTCGACGGATTCAACTAAGTTTGTGTGATCGTTGGATTAGTTGCAATCGAGAGTTATCTTGATTTCTTGTAGGTGTTCCGAAGTGTTGACTCTAATTCTACCTTTCGAGTCTTGTATTGTGAATTTATCGCTACAATCAGGTGGATACATTTACGTTGTATCTATAATTATAGCACTCATTATTTCGTATAGATGTTTGTCTCAATAGATTTTGTATGCATGAGAACCCTAGTCTAGGTGTCCCGTTGTTAGTGCTTTTGACGAATGCATAAGCAGTGAGATGTCACCTGTCTGTTGTATCCGGGAGGAGGACGCCCAGAACTGTTGTATCCGGGAGGGGGGAGAACAGCTCCACTGTCTCCTGAAAGGATCCCTTAGACGTTGTATCCGGGGTGGGAAGGTTTCCAGTTACATCCTTGCCAATGTCTGGTCAGAAGGTTTGTTGTATGTACATAGGAGGTTTGCGATTGGGCCGAATAGGGAGTTTGTAGCGCCCCGTTTAATTATAGATCTATTGGGATTATTATAATGATTATTTATTTTTATTATTATTATTTATTGTCATTATTATTAATAGTATTATGAATATTTATTTAATGTCTAATTGTAATTATTTGCCTAAATGTGTACTTGTATTATTATTACTATTATTATTATTAAATAATGTGTGTAATAAAATAGATTTTGTCCGGTTTATTTTTAATTGCGAAATCGAGCCCGAGAACCCGAGTCTTCGAAACTCACGCACATGACGGCCCGATAAATTGAGAAACCCGCGAGCCCGAACCACGCTCCAGCCCCGACCCGGTCCGCCCATTAGTGTGTGTGTGGGTGTCTTGAAGATTAGGAAAGGATTAACCCTAATTGCATAATAAAAATCGTGCCTTTAATCCTCTCCCCTCAACCTCATTCACGCGCAGCTTTTTGTTCTCTCGTCATCCTCCTCATATCAGCAGAATCAGAGGAAATAAAAATCTCACGACCCTCGTTCATCGTTTCCATCTCCCTCCCTTCTCCTCCCGTCGTGTCTGTTCACAGCGAGAATCGCCCGTCGCCATAAATCTCTCATCTTCTCTCATAAGAAAGCTCCGTCGCGCCATCACCCTCCCTACCGCCGCCTGCAACTGCACCTTCGCGAGCCGCCGTCGCCGCTGCACTCCTCCGCGAGCCCTCCTCCTCCGGCTATACACCCAGCAGCAGCGCACCTGAGATTCCCCGAGTCCAGCAGTGACGTCTTCTTCCTGTTCGTGCGCACCACCAGCCCCATCGTGCGATTAACTCCAGCCCTTCGATCGCCCGTCATCCCCTCAGTTCATCGTCGGGACCATTTATGCGGGATTCCTCTGTCCGGGCAAGGATTCTTCCAGCGAGCAGCCCTCCGTTCACGTGTCGCAGGGAAGGCTCGAGCACCTCTTTTCCCGATCAGTAGTGGCGTCATTTGCACAGACGACTCCCGACCAGCCTGAGAGGAAACCACGTCCAAGATCGATTCACCTGCCGAGAAGAAAAGCCGGACAGTAGCAACAACCCTTTCTAGCTCGTGCGAGAATAACGGCAGCCGTTCGAGGCCTTTATTGAACACCGAGGGCCCCGACGAGCTCGTGACCCAGCAGCAGCGAGGCACTTTCTCCTCCCGTGCGACGAGCTCTCCTCTTTCGCGAGATGAGTTTTCCGTTGAGCTCGTTCAAACCCTTCTCGCCCGATTCTTGAGAACGGTATCGAGACCCGTCTTCCCGTTTATTTTACGTAATTATCGTTGTGTTATATGATGATATGTGAATTCGTATAAGTTATGTGATTATATGTTCGATATATGTGTTCGATTAGAGAATATGTGAAAATCGTGAATTTATATGAAAGATATGATTTTATGTGTCGTTTATGTTGTTCGGGATCTCTTCAATTATGAGAAATTGAACGAGACCTCGAAAGTCGTGTAAGTCAATGGATATTGGAACAAAGTCGAGTCCTTGGTCTTACGAGAAGGCCTCGGACGAGAAATTTCATGTTATGAATTAATTGCTATGTTGCCGAGCATATATGTCGCTGTTTTAGTGTTTGAATTTTTAAAACTCGCACACTGCTCGGAATGACTTGAAATTTTGAGTCATATGTTATCTTTTCATTTCCACCTTGTGTAAAAATTTCGTAATTTTTAGAGGCCTGTAGCTATTTTTAATAATTAAAGTGAATTCTGATCAGAATATTGTTTAATGCTTAATAAATTGTTTTTGTACTGTGTTAAGTTTTTAGAATTTTTGGGTTGAATTTGATATGGTTAATGACTTGTTTTCTGTTTCTGCTGAAAGTTGTACCAATTATTAAAAATCGGTTCTTCATTGAAAAATTCTGAAACTTGACTTAGATGCTTATTTTATTTGTATATTCATGATGTTAAAAGATGGGAATTTTTGGAGTCCAATTTAATTCGATTTTGATTTAAATTTGATAACTGCTGAATCTTGTCGGAATTTTTAAAATAAGCACAGATAATGTCCAAGGCTGAGATTTTTACATGTTGTCTATATCTTGCTGTAGCTTGTGAGTTTAAATTTTCAAGTCCTGATTCATTCATTAGGTTCAGATATAATTTCATGTTCGTTTTTGCTGAATTCTTGTAGGAATTTTATAAATTTATGTGCTTTGAGTTTGAAGCTGAAATTTTGTGGCTTTACTAATTTCTGGGAGATGTAATTTTGGGCAAAATTTCAGAGCTTAAGTCGTAGGGTAGCCTGACCATCTATTTTCATGTGATTAATGATTGCTATTCTCGAGACATGATTTTGAATTCAAAATTGGGAATCGACTTGCTTTTCGTTTTGATGTGAGTTTGTCTTGGTCCATCCTTGGATGGATTTATATGAACTCCCTTATGTGGTTTGGTCGGGTTTAATGCCGAGTCTTAATGTTCCAACGTCCACAGGACTTCACGAACTACTTAGTCGAAACAAGTTCGACTAGGTCTGTTTTGTGTTTTCCGTTTAAAGTCAAGATAGATGTTGATTGTAGCATCTTGACTCAATGTAGGTAATTGAGGAGTCCAGCCTCGACCCACTCCCATTGCTTTGGATTATTATCAATCCGAAATCCAGGTGGGTTATTCAAAAATTAACTATGCATATGTGTTTTAAAGATGTTAAATGGGTATGATCTATGTATGCATGTGAGCATGTAGCCTATCGATGTGAGCTTGATGGCTATCGTTACGGTTGTCCCCGTATAATAAGATACGGTTACCTTTGAGGTAAATCTCATTAAGACCTATGAGAAGGCCGTGTCATTGATGTGGCACGCACTCCCATGTTTCACTGATATGCCATGGCTTAGCTGTGATGAGCATAGATGTACATGAGTGAGTCTTTGATGAGACTATAGTCATTGATGTGGCTAGAGATGTGACATGATTTTATTGTTTATGTTCATGCTGCGACCATACCATTATTATGTTATTAATATGCATAGTGTGAGTACGATAGTTAACTGTACTCACTCCCACCTGCTCGTAACTGATGCAGGTTAAGCAGTCAGCGGGTGACGAGACAAGACGGGTGGTGGTTATGTCCTTTATTATTGTTTTATTAATTATGCTTCCGCTTAGTTCATGAACTCATGTTGAAATTTGGATATTTTGAGTTATGTCGTTTGAACTCGAGAATTATGAATTATCTTTTGATAAGTTGGAACTTAATGAATGCTAGTTTGGTTATGACTTATTATTCGTGTATGATGTCTGTATCTGATGTATTGGCATTTTCGGATAAAAGTTTTTGGTAAAATAAGTAGCGCCCACTAAGTTTTATTTAATTGGGATCTGCGAAAAATTTATTGTGAGTTTTATTAAATTAATTCGATAAATCTTTCAAAATAAAGTGGGGCGTTACAGAGTTAGACCTAGATTCAATGCATACATTATTTATAGTTTTGAATCTTTAGGCGGGATATACTTTGCGATAGTGGTGAGCATAATGGTTTGCTCACCCCCATTTCTTTTCTCTTTGTCTCCTCTTCCTCTGTGTAGGTTGAGCATGGCTGGCGGCGGCGGCGAGAAGACGATTGAGTGGTGGTCATTAGTTGATGTGTCTTTTTGCTTCCGCTTATGACTATCTACGTTGAACTACTTGTTTTTATTTTTTTTTATTATTATTTATACTTCCGCTTTGAACACCATGATTATGTTTGGATAAACCGTTGATTCATGTTGAACTTTCTGGATGGTTTGAGGCTTATGAATAATTTGGTATTATTCTCATATCAGTTAATTTATGCATGTTTAGGTTCTATCTAATTGTTCGCATTTGTTTAATTGTTGCTGGTAGTTAAGTAGCGCCCGTTGATTATTAAAGTTTTAAATTGGAATTTTGCGAAAAAATAGCTCTAATTTTTATAAATAAATTCGGTAAATTCTTTAAAATAAAACGGAGCATTAAGTGTGGTATGAGAGCTAGTCTGCGTTTCTGTAGACTATCTCTATTATTAGTGTATTTAATGACCATTCGACCACTCGCTTTCGTCTCACCGCGCCAACTCGAGGTATGAGTTTTGTTGTTTTGCATGTCTTATATGGGGCTTAGGAAAATTTATCCACCGTTTGTTATTTTTTAGACTTTAGTGTTTAATGATGAACTCTAGAATATTATTTTGTGCTAAATTCTTTTCGGCCTATTCAATCTAAAACTATGGCTCATCGTAACACTCGCAACACCCGCAACAACCGTCAGGCAACCCCGCCTCCATCCCCACCTCATCAGCAGGCTCCGCCTAATCTGAATCTGGATTTCCCGAGACTCCTAGTCCAATTCCAGAGCATGCACCCACCTAACATCTTGGGGACCGAGGAACCCACCGCGGTGCTTGAGTTGATGAAAGAGCTCGATAAGATCTTTGCGGGGCTTCCTCTCTCGAATGTGAACCGCGTCTCTCTTGCCGCTTTTCAGATGAAGGCGGATGCATCCGATTGGTGGCTTGACTACTGGGCTTTGAAGACAGTGGCCGAGCGTAATGCCATTACTTGGGATCAGATGAAGGAAGTTTTCTGGGGCAAGTTCCTACCGCAGAGTTTCTGTAACCGGATGGAGCACGATTTCTGGCATCTGCAGCAGGGCAACGCTAGCGTGGATGACTACATACGCAACTTCACCAGAATGAGCATCTTCGCTCGTGAGATGGTGAACACTGACGAGAAGAAGGCCCATAAATTTCTGAAGGGGCTGAACCAGAGGATCCGTGAGCTAGTTGGGAGTCACTGTTTGATGTCCTATGCTGACACTGTGAGTCGGGCACAGGAAGTGGAGAGCTGCCTCATTCCGATAGCGCCAGCTCCCTCGTACTACCATGCTTCGGAGCATGTTCAGATTGCACCACCAGCCATTCCCCCACCATCCTATCAGCCGCCGATCTTCCCTCAGCTACCTTATAAGTATCTAGTCCCTTATGCTCCAGCTCCCTCATCCTCTAGCTCTAACAAGAGGAAGAACGATCATCAGAACCGTAAGAAGGGAAAGCGCCCTAATCATGGTCACCGCCCTCACCAGCATCAGCCCGTGGCAAAAAATGTTCAGCCTATCCACCAGTTCCCAACAGGATCACCGCCGTGTAGAGCATGCGCAAAGGCGGAGCCTTATGGAGACCAGTGTGGGCCTAGGTCCACACGGGAAAAAAAACCATAATATGCCTATTAAAAAAAAAACAAATCTAATTATAAGCCCAAATAATAAGGCTTTAACAAAAATGACATATATATAATTATATATAGCCCATATAATATGTCCATTAAAAAAAACAAATCTAATTTTAAGCCCAAATAATAAGGCTTTAACAAAAAAATTAGTATTACATAGATTTAACAAACAAATAATAAAGGCTGATACTTTTAACTTCACACAAGAACTTCACGTAAGAACAGAGTTACAGAGACAAAGGAAAAGAGAGAGAAGAGGGAAAAGAGGAGAGGGGAAGAGAGAAAAGATTCACAAAGCTTATAAATTTTTGTTCCAATTGTTCGAGAAGACGACTTGCGAGGTAACGAAATTATTTTATGTTTATTTGGGTGGAGATAAAAAATATTATTCTTTATTTTTTAGGTAGTGATAAATACATTCTTTTTACGTATAAATTACAAATTCAATCTCTAAGATGATTATAACTCTTTAAAGCGTGATATGCCGAAATAGAAAATTTTATTGATTGTATATTTATAATATTTTTTTTTTGTATATCAGATATGGAGAGATATTTTTAAAAAAATATCCCATCAACAAAGTGTTTGTGGAAATATCTCAAATGAGATAAATTTGAAAAAGAAACCTTCTTGAAAATTAGTAATGATGCTATTATCGAGCGATATCAGGCCATGAAAACTCGTAAAGAACGATTATGAAGGTATGTCTTTGTATTTGTATTTTTCGTTATGATATTTTATATTTTTTCATTAAATAATGAGGCCCCCCTCATTATATTTGCTAGATCT